ATTCCAGATATCTTTTTCGTTCGTTCAAATATTGGGTTTACAATTTAAGCTCGAACATTTTAAAAAGCAATAAAATATAAAAGCTGAGTATATTAAATTAAAATGATCTTGGAGTCTCACTACGTTGTTACAGTCCATGTCGCCACGTCTGTTAAAACCCTATCTGACGACTGTACTTGTTGACAATAGCCCCGCAGTGTAGTGTCCGTTGAAAAATTTTCCGTCTTATGAGCCCCCCTCCCCCCAGTGGCACAGCGGTATGTTAGAATCCGGGTTTCGATACCCGTGGTGGTCAGAGCACATATAACCCGTTCTGTGGCTTTGTGCTTAATCACAAGCAAACAAACCGTCTTAAGACTTTCATATCCAAAACACACCAACTTCCATAATTCATACAGTGTACGAGGATAACGGTCTCCCAGTGCCTGTTTTAATATCCGATCGGACAGAAATCCATATACTCCGAGTCCGGCAACTTGACCGGAATGTCTTCGTATGTAGTAGCGTGAATACTCGTTTCATTCTGCGACGATTGAACGGAAGGTATGACTGAAAGCCTTTTCTTGGTGAACCTGTTGGCCTCGTTTACAGATGGAGATCCTTCTTGATTATGTTGCGTACTTGTGGACAGCTTTTGCCACTGACTTTTGTGTTCGTGAATTTTCATCTGATACAAGACGCTGCAGTTTGCTTACCACGGCTGGGATACAACTTTTTGCAGATCTCTTTCTGGATGGTCCTGTTTCCCCAAGCTGATCCGTAGTCCTTTATTTTCAAACACTATTAAGTATAGGGGATATCCTCTCTTGTAAATTCTAAATCCTCGATCTCAACACATCAGTATGGTCTGAGTGTATTAGACTATTGCGTCAGAAATGGGTGTTACATGCCCTTCCCAAAATCGATCAATTTTCGGTGGTATCACACTACCCATATAACGCCAAAATACGTCAAAATATATTTCTGATAGACTGAGTTCCACAGCGACTTTATCTCGGCTGTGTTTGTCACGTGATTTGCCTATTAAAAAATCGTTTTAATATAGCATACTGAACCCGCTGTGGTGCTAGATATGTTGAAAGATAGAAAATGCATAATAATAATAAAAAAAATTCAAATAAACATTCATAACGTGATGGAAGATGATTATAATAAAACAATGTCGTTAGGTAAATCCTCGGCACGTGCTAAGTCTAGGGGCTCACGAGGCTTTGTAATTAGCTTGCCGAGATGCATATTGTAAGGTTCGAGCTGCGATATACTGCTGAACATGTTTCGTACTTTCAGTTTTGGAAGTATCAAAATAATAACAGTAAATTTCGCTATCCAGTTAAGAGTAGCCTAGTGTTTATTACACAGCTGATGATGCTGACTAATTTTTCTCCTTCTGATTATCAGTTCCAAGTTAAGGACGCTCATGTGAACTCTTCGGACCCCCCACTCCGAACTTAGGCACGCGTATTACAAAAGGTGTCATTTAGATTAAAATTAAGCCTGGAAAAGTATATTATGAAAAAAACTGTGCTTTTGTTAGGAAAAAGGACCAACCTTTGAAACTGCTTGGGCTCTTTATGGATTTTACTTGCTAGCCACCAGGTGAGTTAATCGTCAAAAAAAGATGTTTCTTTTACAATGGTGGGACAACTTATTGTATCGCCCAATTTTTTCACATTTTCTTTCGAAATCATCGTCTGTTTTGAAGCCCTAATGCGTATAGGTGCAAATTTGTTTCATGGATGATGCAATACTGTCTAATTAATATGTCAGCAGTTTTATGGGCTATCTCGGTATTGCATCAGCCGTTTTTCGGCTATAAATAGTTTTTACTGACAGTCAGTTTAGAGGTCTGCCTGCTATAAAGTGCGCGTGATGCTACCACGGCCTAGAGTTGCGAAAAAACAGCAATTTTTGCTTCAAGTGAAGAGGGACTTTTGACAAAGCAGATTGCTAGAAGAATTAAATCTAACCAGTCTACTGTGAACTGCTTGTAGATATAGCGAGACTGGCTGTGTGGAGCGTTAGGATGGAAGAGATAGGAATAAATCTTTCACAGCTGCTTACGATCGTGTTCTGAAACGCATGAACCTGCAGAATAGTCGAATGTTGTCCACAGATCTAAAAAAAAGCATAGCAGAAAACTTCTGTCACCGCCCGCACCACCCAGTCTCGCCTGTGTTCAGCCGGTCTCCCAGCAAGATGGCCAAGAAAGAAACTCCTCTTCACCAACAAGATGAGGCCCAACTGGGCCAAAGAGCATGCTGATTAAACTGAAGCGATGAGGAGTAAAGTGATCTCAGACGAATCGGAAGCACTTTGTACAATGTCGATGTGAAGAAGAGTTTCATACAGTGTGTTGGAATGTAACTGTGAACCGTCCACAAGGTCAGGTGATATGGAGATGCATCTCTGGTCATGGTGTGAGACATCTGAATTTTATGAAAGGCACTGTCAGTGCCGACAAGTACATCGAGATTCTCGAATCCCGGCTAGAGCCAACATATTGGGATCGCTTTGGTAGAGCTGACCAGTGCACATTTCAGGATGACTTTGTTCCATGTCACATGGATACAAATATTGGTAATATTCATGCACTCTATGCAGTAGACGTGAAATAAAGAGGACGTTACTTATATTGAAAAGAAATCTCAGTTTATATTTCACTGCTTCAGGTGAAGGACTACATTTGAAGAGAAAGGATTAAGACACTATACTGACCAGGCAAACGCCTAGTTTTTCAACCCTATAGAAAACAGCTGGAAAGTAATAGGTAACAACGTGCAAGACAAGAAACCGAGAAGCATCTTAGAACTGCAGGAAGCCCTAATAATAAATTCACGCCTGCCCACGTTCAATCTTTCGTGCATTCTATGTCACAGCGATATCAGACAGTTATCAAGGCCAGAGGGGGCACAACCAAATATTAAAACAAGAAACAAACTCTGTAACCACTTTTTGTCAATTACACTAGTCTTTAAAATCGAGGTTTTCTTCTCAGATAACATTTTCATATTTGCCAAGTGTTTGTTGATTATCTGCTGTAATACTTTTGTCACGGTTGGTTTGTTAATAGATACATATATGTGTTTGGATGACTGAAGTATGAGTCAGCTTATACCACACAATGTCCATAACCGTTTTACACTAGTTCTGACACTTCCACAATGTACAATTCGTAAAAAAAAATGACAGGAACCAAGAAAAGTGTGAAAAAATTTGGTGAAGCAACATTTTTTTCACCACTGTAAATACATAATAAATATTAAGATATCTTATAAGTTTTTCAGGTTTTTTTTTATTTGATATTCTTTTGAAATATTGGAAATAAGGTTACATTGCATCATATTCATAAGATGAGTTGACAGAGCGCAATTATTGTTTCGCTGACTAAACCTTGTTTAAAGGCTATTTAATGATGTTTTTCCACCAGATATTTCCTCCATGCCTTTCTTCGAAACTTTCCGTTGGCCACCCAGTTTTGATCTTTATGGTTTTAGCCTGTCGGGATTTTTTTCCCATCCTTCTCTTCTAAAAAATATGAAAATCAATTTTGAAAATTTTAATGTGTTTACTGAGAGTAAGATAAGCTCACAGTCAACTTGAGAACACATTTAATAGATGTAAATAGGAAAAAAATGGAACGCGGACCAAAGCCTTTATTCATATAAGCTGCGACAAGCGCTGTCGTTGATTGAGAATATTCTCTTCAGCCTAGAGTTTACAGATTCTTTAAAAGCATTGTGTTGTATAATTTTCTTCCATACAATAAATAACTTCAAGATAACATAGCTAGGTTTTATGGAATCATAAATTACACACTATGGCGAAACTTTGAAGATATTCGTGGACAGAGATGCAGGAAACAGGGTTTTAAAGATTCTTTGAAGTTCCTATTGAGAATTTATTCTTTGAATGTGCTCTGAGAGAATTTATAAAACAAAAACAAGAGATATGCACAAAATAATAGACCCTGTAATTAGAATAAATATTTTCATGTGGTAACTTCACTAAATTGGGTGATGAAACTTTGAAATAATATTCAATCAGAAATTAATTTCACTTTTGTTTTATTTTTCACCAAACTTTTCATGTATAACTTTTATATGCAGCAATAGTGTGGTGAATGACACGTGACAAACGAGTAGTAATCAAAGTTTTGGTTGGTGAAGACAGCTCCATGCGACAGATTGAGAAGAAATTTTATGTTTCAGTAGAAGTTGCATGGAAACTGAAGATGGTTCATGAAACTATTACTACTAATAATAGAAAAAAATCGAGGTAGAAAATCCAAACCCTTCAAAGTGATGTTAAGAAGTTGAGGGTATGCTTTTTATTTGATATACAGCAAACTAAAACATATCTTGTCAATAGCCTAGTTGTAAGTACAGGTCTGAAGGTTATCTTCAGAACTGTAAGATACAATGAATACGCTTCTGCTCAAAAACTACTACTTAATAAGTTTGTTTGTTTTTGAATTTCGCGCAAAGCTACACGAGGGCTATCTGCGCTA